CTCTGTGCAGGATTCTTGGCCCTTTTTTATTTCCACTCATACGAGCACATTTCGGTTGGCAAAGACGAGGTTCGTGGAGAGAGGAGAGCGCGGGGAGTTTGAATGCGCACTGCTGCTCACGCGGGAAACATTGGGACAGCCATCTGGAAAGATTCCTGCAGGGTTGGGAGTCATCTGAGCCAGGAGCAGAAATACCGTGGGAATTCGGTGATCAATCAAGCAGCCTGAAGAGCAAATCCGCAAACTAGCAGTCTTGCCGGGGGTGGGTGGGGAGGGGTGTGCTGCGAGCGAGCCAGAGGCTGAATTATGGCTGGAAAAGAGCTGAATTCTTCCCAGCAACCAATGAATTCGTTAAAAAGAAAAGCCCGACGTTCGCATGCAAGCGGGTTACGTTTGCCAAACCGATGTACATTTCACCCAGCTGCAGTCGGGAGACGGGGGCCAAGAGTGTCTTTGGCAGTGGACCCTAGAACAAGGCTGGAAACACACAAGCACCCCCAAACCGCCAAAAAATTCCTGCCGAAGCCAAACGGACTGTGAGATTCGGCAGGACCCAGCTCCAAGGAAACCCACCGCAAGGTCTCGGAGAGAAATGACCTGACAGGGCTCTGAGCGCCCTCAAAACTCAACAGGGTCCTTCCCGGCTCTCTTTCGCAGCTCAGCGGCAGAAGCAGCCAGGCGCTGGAGAAGGGATGTTCAATGCGCAGGGGGAAGGGAGCGCTTAGGAGGAGAAACACCCCCCACTCCCGAAAGAACGACCTAAGACCTCACGGCAGGCAGCTGAAGCCGACAGCCAGGCCCAGCCCCATGCCCATTTGTGCTACGACTGCTGAAGCACTAACGCGCCTCCTCGCTCAGCAGCTAGCAGGCCGGGGCTCGCTTGGCATGGCTCTCCGACGCCAGCTGCCGAGAGGAGCACGAGAACTGCATGACGGGCGCTCCGCCTGCAGAACAAAGCGCGCTACGTTACGCCTGGACACAACCCCTCGTGTTCCTGGTCAGCTGGGAGCTTGTGCGGCTGCTCGGGAGCCATTCAAACGCCACCCCGCAGACTAGCAGTGGTGTTTCTACCGGTGGTGCACAGTCACACCTGCCTTGGTGCATACAAAATAATTTATTCCGCGCCGACGGAAAAATTCCGCACATGGATGGAAAAGACTCGAGGAAACATGGACTACAAATCAGGCAGCCGTCACAGCAAGAAGGGGGTTGGATTTAACCCCGGACGTGATCAACATCAAACCCGTATCAGCCTGGAGCCGGGACAGCCACGCCAGGGAAGGGAGGTGAGGCTACAGAGAGCCTTTGCCGTGACGTCTCCCTTGGCTGCCTGCTAAGTTAAACCTGGACTTCACTCACCCGGCTTACTCACGGCCCCAGGATCAGCTGGGAAAGCCCGGACGTAGGGAGAAGTGCTGGAAAGGGGGAGCCAATAAAACAGCCACTGGCTGACCGGGAGCTGAAACCCCCCGGGATTGTTCTTCCGCGCCGACGGAAAAATTCCGCACATGGATGGAAAAGACTCGAGGAAACATGGACTACAAATCAGGCAGCCGTCACAGCAAGAAGGGGGTTGGATTTAACCCCGGACGTGATCAACATCAAACCCGTATCAGCCTGGAGCCGGGACAGCCACGCCAGGGAAGGGAGGTGAGGCTACAGAGAGCCTTTGCCGTGACGTCTCCCTTGGCTGCCTGCTAAGTTAAACCTGGACTTCACTCACCCGGCTTACTCACGGCCCCAGGATCAGCTGGGAAAGCCCGGACGTAGGGAGAAGTGCTGGAAAGGGGGAGCCAATAAAACCGCCACTGGCTGACCGGGAGCTGAATCCCTCCGGAATTGTTCCCTTCCTTCTGCTTAAATCCCAGTGTGCCCCCCCCCACACCCATTCCCCATGCTGCTGCCTCGTGCCCCAAAGCTCAGTGCCTTCATAACCCACCCAGCTCCCCGGAGCTGGACCAAAGAGCCAGGGGAGGAGACAGCGAGACAAGACCCTGCCGCCTGCTGTCCCTTGGCCCACCCCCAGACAGTAAGAGGAGGAGGGGAGGGAGAGGCAAGCCTGCAGAAATGGCCAGAGTGTTGCCACAGCAGGGAGAGGCCGCCGGCTGTACCCTGACCGACATGCCGGAGCGATGAGGGCAGTAACCAAGGACAAGCAGCCGTTCCTACAGGAACTGGCCAAAACTCACCAGCTCCATCCGAGCGCAGGCGGACACACCCGGGTACCCTGCCTGCCCCGCCCTCTGAGCGCCACCCTCGTCTGGAAAACCTCCACCAACGCGGCCTCCTCTCCCCCATCTTCCCTTGCGCTTGTCAGCTGGATCGCTCTCTCGGGGAAACCGCATCTCTCCCCGGCCTGCCGGCCACCTGCTCTCAGAGGCCGCGGAGTGCGATCAAATATCCAGCTCGCGGATTCCTTCCCCAGCCTCCCCGGGGTGAAGACAGAGCCGAAAGCCAGTCAGCGGCGGAAGGAAAGGAAATCACTCGGGGCCATGGGGCGTTTTGCCCTGCACGGCTTGGGAAGGGAAAGTCATGCCAGATGGGCTTCTCTGGGGAAGGGTGGCCCAGTGGTTAGAGTGCTCGTCTGAAGGACCCAGAGCCGATTCCTTCCTCCACCCCCGAGGCCAACGCGACGTGGTGCGGGTCACTCGGGCTCGCCGTACCTTGGCTCCCCCCAGGCGCGGTAGGAGACGCACAGCGCTCGAGCTGCTCCAGCACTCCGGGAACGGGGGCCCCACCTGTTCTGCTAGGAAGCGGTAGAACAGGGGCCAATTGCAAATCTAAACCTCCTTTTTCCCCCCTTCCCCAGCCATGCTCTGCTCTGACACCCCCCTGGCCACTCCAAGGTACAGTCAGACGTGGTGCCTCGTTAACACCCCCCCAACCAGCAGAAGCTAACAGCGTAAGCGGTCATGACATGTAAGCGGTATTCACCACCTGGAGCATAGAAGGGGACTCGGGGAACCTCTCCGGGTAACTCCCTGCGCTCTGCCCTCCTCGTCCAACTCACCAAAAAGTTCCAATAACGGGACTTTTGGGGGGAAGGGGGGCTGTGTTATTCCAATGCAGCCTCCGCTTGCCCCATCCCCCGGAGAGCCCACGTTCCCACGCTGCCGCACTGCGACCTAGCCGAGTCAGGGCCACCATGGTGCTTGGGCAGGATACGACCTTTATTCGCTTCCGACAGGCCGCAAGGGCACAGAGGCCAGAAAGTTCCTCGTGTCCTCGGAGGGCCGGCTTTCCCCAACGCCTGACGGAGCCGGGGGTACGACACGGCCAGGGACGCAGGGAGTACATGGGGGCAGCCAGACCCCGTTCGGTCTGCTCCCCCCCCTACAATTCTGTTGCCTAGTCCGCCTCAAACCAGGAGTCGCAACCCTTCCCCGCCCTGCCCCCAGCCCTGCCAGTTAAATGACAAGGCAGCCAGGCGCTCCGTGGGGGCTGAGGCGGCCACCTCTCCCCTCCTGCCTGCCCAGCAGGGAGCTCTGCAAATACCTTTCAGGTTGCTGAGACCATCCAGGAACTTCCTGTACTTCTCGGCGTTCATCTCCCTGCCGAGCCTGCCCTGTTTCAGCTGGTGGCCATCCTGCCCCGGCGCGGAGAAAGCCCCGATCTGTCCCAGATCCCCCTCTTCCCTGCCGGGCACCCACAGCCGGTCGCACGCCACTTGCACTTTGACCACCCTTGGGGAGTGATGTCACCGCAGAACCGCCCTGCACAGCCGTCCTTTGTGTGTCCGGAGCTGATGAAGCGCATTAAACCCGCCCCGGCCTACGCCGCCCCCTCCCCCTTTGTGCAAATTAGCCGTGAAACGACAGACCAACCTCGGGCATGGAGCTGGCTGGCTCCGGG